TGATCGTTGAAACAATTAACTCGGCCATCTGGATTAATTTAACGGCCACGTGTGCAAACCGTCATCCACGTAGGCAATCGATTTTGACGGAATTAGTCTGGTAATGGATGGAGTGCAACTTTACTAAGTTTAGTGAGTGATGAGATGCAATTTAAAATTCAGTTAGTGGAACGTGACACTTTGTAAAGTTCAGTGAACGTTGAAACAATTAACTCGATAATATTGTATGGATAGATAATATTATCGAAATAAATAAATAAATAATGATTGTGATATATATACATAATAATTTATATAATGACTTACATACATATGCTGAGATATGATTAGGTCAACTTTTTTTTTCTATCAAATAAAAAAATAAATTCTTCGCTCTATTTTTGACACATCATCTGTATAAAAATCATTATATAACTCATTATGTACAAGTAACATTATTCAATAAAAAATGATTTTGTTACTTAGCCCCTATTTGAGCCACATTATTTTTTTTCATTCTCATTTTCAACAATACATTTTTCAATAAAATAATATTTTTCATCACATCAATAAATTTTCTTTCTTTTTCAACCACATATTTTCCATCACATCAAACAAAAAAATGCCTTCTTGGACTCAAAATGTGCATCAAATAGGGGCTTATAGTCTTGTACAATTTTCTTTACATATTGTTTGCCAAATGTTGAGGTGACGTACATTTTGGTCCCTCATTTGAATTCAACAAATGTGTAAAATAATTTATGTACATGTAGCTTAATTGATAAAAAAATATAAAAATCAATTATTACAACCTTTCACTCATTCAATGTCATTTATCTGCACACAATTATGTACAGGATAATATAGAAATAATATTACTCTTGTCGCACTAGCAAATTTTTTCAATAAATGAAAAAAACTATAGTTGAGGTCCTTTTTATTGGAAATAACACGTCTTCAACTTCAATTTAAAGCAATTGAATCCCCAATATTATAATTTTATTGCAAGTGACTTCCCAATAGATGGTTTCTACTATTTTAAACACCGGAAAGTCAATTAAAAATAAATAAAACTACGGAAATGTTGGAAAAATGCTTTGCCTTGTACTTTTATTACCTAGTTGTATATTTGAGGGCCAACTTTTAAAAACTTTCGTTCCAAATAATTTCCTGAACACAATCTCTAAATTAGTTTTTTTCGTCGATAATAATAATAGAGTTATTAGTAAGTTATATTGTAATATATTTAATTAATTAATAATAGAATTTGCATAGTAACACAAATTTGTAAAAATATAAAAAATATTAATTTTAGAAATTTGGCAATAATTAAATAATAATTTAAAATTACCAATGACTTCTCGTATTAGGCAATGTTTTATAAACCAACACGATCATCGACTCGAAAAAGAGAAAGAGTCAAGGGTCAAAAAGTTGATCCGGAATTGAACCGGTGATTTTTAAAGAATTAGAAAATACACATTTACAAAAATTAAAAATATATACATTTACATAGGTTGAGCCGATTAAACCAGGACGATTGGACGAGTCATGAGTTTTCCAAAAATCGACCGGTTTAACAGGTTTTGGGACAAGTTTTTAATTAGAGGTTTTATAAGCTTAATCGGACCTACGAATTTCAATCACGAATCATTCACTATATTAATTTTTTTTTTTTTTTTAAGAATTGCTTTGTCGACGATTTTGCGTAAGATCATATATTCTTGAGTTGTCTCTAAATAGTATTAGTTACTAAAAATTGATGGTGCAACTAAAGATTTATATATCTTGTACTCGAAAAAACATTTGTTCCTTACTAAAATTTGTGTATTTGTTGAGCTTAGTACCTAATTATTGGTTTGTGTTTGGAAACAATGACCATTTGCCAGTTTGGACTTCGGCACAGGATTTTGATAAAAAATGTATTTGGAAATAATGATTTTTAAAGAATGTGATTTTAAAAATAAAGAAATATTTTGAATTCACGTGTAATTTTTTTAAGAATACTAGTTTATTGCCCGTGCAATGCACGAGCTATGTTATTTTTGAGGTAATATTAGCGT